CGATTGTTATATTCTTTTTCCATTTTTTCCTTCTTGTTAAAGACTCCATTCTTGTGCTTGGATGATTCTTGATTGTTATATGGCCATTCTTTCCAGACTCTTTTTCCATTTTTTCCTTCTTGTTAAAGACTCCATTCTTGTGCTTGGATGATTCTTGATTGTTATATGGCCATTCTTTCCAGACTCTTTTTCCATTTTTTCCTTCTTGTTAAAAGACTCCATTCTGGCAATTCTTTCCTTTTTTTTTCAAAGACCGAACTTACACATTTCAATTCTATCCCAATTCTATCTCATCGGATTTAGTCATCTCCATTCTGGCAATTCTTTCCTTTTTTTTTCAAAGACCGAACTTACACATTTCAATTCTATCCCAATTCTATCTCATCGGATTTAGTCATGTATTCTGGAATGTAGAATCATCCAACACCTCCCCTATCCGACAATTCTTTCCTTCTTGTTAAGGACCGAACTTACACATTTCAATTCTATCTCATCGGATTTATTTCAACACTTTCATCTGGAATGTAGAATCATCCAATACCTCCCCTATCCCCTGACTTTGAGTTGGGCTTCCCAAAAGACCCCTATCCCCTAAAAAGAGCTCATGCAAATGGAGAGTGTATTCTTAGATTATAAACTCATCCTTTTTTGCTCTATGACTTTGCTTTGGGCTTCCCAAAAAGCCCCATATCAATTGAGAGTGTATTCTTAGATTTTAAACCCATGATCATTCCCCTAAATTAACCAATGTGGGAAACTTTCATCCAACCCTCTACACAATGGTATGATATTGTTCCATTTGAGTATAAACTCTTATGACTTTGTTTTGAACTTTCCCAAAGACCTCATACTAAAACCGAAATTGGGCATTCGCCGCCCCGGAAAACCGGGCCCGCCAGGCCCGCCGAAGGGAAAACCGTAACTCGTGATCGGCACTCCCACTCAACTTGCCATCGTCCGAAGGACCTCACGGAGGGATGGAGAACCCAAATCCGTGCTCCTTCTTAGGAGCTGCCGCCCGACCCTGTCCCTGGGAGTTTGTTTTTGTTCTGCTGCCGATATTGGGTGGGTTAGGCCGTATTGGGGTGGGAGCGTATACGTGGGGTACTCTTGGAGAATGTATTCTTAGATTATAAACACATGACCATTCCCTAAATTAACAAGGTGTGGGACACTTTCATCCAACATGCACAACAAATGCTACGGATCCCTCTTGGTCATTCTTGTGTACACAGAATTCCACTTCCACTTCCATTCCTCTTAATTAATTAATGTCTTTTATTACAATTTATGTTCTTTATTTTTATTTGTTTTTTTTAAGTCAGGTACACGCTCCAAAGTCAGTCTTGAAAATGGAGTGAGAAACCAGGGCCAGAGAAGTATTAAATCTTCTATTAAAAAACTTTTTTTTTTCTTTTAAAATATCATTTACTCTATATTTAGGTTTAAAATATCATTTACGCAAGTATCAAAAGTTAACATTTTGTAGTATATTATAATATTCTAATTCTAATTTTTTTTTTTTCATTTAGATTGTTGTTGGGCAATGGTCGTTGATTGAATGTTTATACAACATAAAATTTAGGAGGGGAGATGAAGATTTATTCCAGTGTTCACCCCAACAACTAATTGATTCGGTTAAACCACAGCCCCCAATTATACAAGATGCTCGAGGATGTTACACTTGTAGTTTCAGCCGAGAGTTCAACTGGATAATAAATAATGGGGAATAGTGAGTGAAACTAATTATCCATATATGGGTAGAAGGGGAGAACCGAAAGAAATATTGGAGGTAAAATATTTTAATTTGTGTATTTTTTTTATGTGTAAAATTACATTTAATTTATGATCGTAGGACATGTCTAAAATGAAAATCAATTCGTTCAAAAGGATATACCACGATAGTCATAACGTGAATTCAATGATTCGACGCCATCCTATTGCAGGTGCTGTAAAAATTACTGACGAATTTAGAAATTCTGAAAATGTAAGTATCACGTATGAAAATTTTAAATTACGGATATTTTTTTTATAAAAAATTGTGTAATTGTTAAAGTAATTTATTCACTAGTTTGTAAGGTTAACTAACTTAAAAGTAATTTATTCACTTAACTAACTTATCTTGTTTAAATATTGTAGAAGATGTATTGCGGGCCGGAAGATGTCAATATATTGTCAAAGGCTTCTCAACCTACAGTATTAGTGGTTGGATTTGGAGAGGAGGTAAATGGAGAAAAATATTGGTTAATAAAAAATTCATGAGGAGAAGCCTGGTCTTGGTCTATGCAAAAATTAGTCAAAATATTGTCGAAGAAGGCCGCAAACATCTAATTGAGAGATTGTCTTATCCTATTATTGAAGGGCAAAATTTGTAAACTTAGATGTATATGTAATCTCAGGTGTATACATATTCACATATTCTTTACTCTACAAGGATCATAACATTTAGTTTGAGTTTTATTTTCTTATGGTAAATGAGGCAAAATGTATTCGTATCATTTAAACCACACATATGTTCTATCCTTTTAACATTTTTGACTATCTATTCTATTCTCTAACTTGACAATACAATAAATATGTCTTTTAATAGCATTTTTAATCAAAATATGATATCCCCCTCCCTTTCCTCCTATCGTTTCTTTTTCACCTTTCCCCTTCTCTCTTCTCTTATTTCTTTAATTCTCTCTTCTCCCTTTCCTATTCTATTCTCTAACTTAGAAAATACAATAAATATGGAAGATCAAAACACCTGTGAGTAGAATATAGGTCAGAAGGCTCCACAAAGTCCAAAAGGTAAACGCCGGCTGTATGATGTCGAGGAAGCTGCTCTGTTCTGAAAAGAAAACCTTTCAATAGTGAAATTTAATGTTTGTGCCAACGAGGTTGAATAAGGGAAAATGCAGGAGAAAAGACGACCTGAGAGAATTGTAGACAGTATTGGAGAAGAAATTACTCGTAAGAGAAGCGGCAAGAATTAAAGATGAGCGGCTACAGAAAGTATATAGAGTAACATCCACCAAATTTTACTAAAAATAAATAAAGAAAGAAAGAGCACATTGTAGAGTTCACTCAAAATAAATTTATAATTAAACTATGCACCTATATCCACGGTATAAACAAAAATTATATATCTAATTAACTATTAAAATAATAAATTTTCATATACATGTAAATACTTATACATATACTATATACTTCAACCTTGTACATCGGTTAAGTTGGATTAGGTACCAACCAAAAAATATGTTTAGTTTTTCTATAATGAATTTTGTTTTTTGTTTTCAAGATAAAGGGAGAATTAAGACTTTTTTTTATTATTAACGTAATCTTCTACATCCCTCTTTCACGGCCATCACATCCCTCCCTTCTAACTGCCATTCTTGTAGAGCCTTCTAGCGGATCCCTCTACTACCATTGTGGCGGATCCCTCTACTACCATTGTGGCGGATCCCTCTACTACTGCTACTGACATTCTTGCGGTTCTTGCCATTCTTGTGAATCCTAATCTTCTGGATCCCTCTTCTACTGCTTGCGATTCTTGCCATTTTTTGAACGTAATCTTCTGATCCCTCTTCTTGATATTTTTTTAACGTAATCTTCTGGATCCCTGTTGCCGGTAATCTTCTGGATCCCTGTTGCCGGTAATCTTCTGGATCCCCCTCTGATCCCTCCTTCTGCGGCTGGCGGATTCTTGCCATTTTTGAACGTAATCCCGATTTTTGCCATTCTTGCCATTTTTGAAGTGATCTTCCGTGCCATTTTATTATCAGGTAATCCGGTAATCTACTGGATCCCTCTTCTACCACCGGTAATCTTCCGGATCCCTCTTCTACGGCCGGTAATCTGCCGGATCCCTCTACTAATGCCATTCTTGTCATTATTATCAGGTAATCTTCCGATAATCTCCTGGATCCCTCTTCTACGGCCGGTAATCTTCCGGATCCCTCTACTAATGCCATTATTGTCATGGATCCCTCTACTAATGCTATTATTGTCATGGATCCTTCTATTAATGCCATTATTGTCATTATTATCAGGTAATCTTCACGCCATTCTCATTATTACCAGGTAATCTTAAAGATCCTTCTTTCTTCTTCTACACCATTAGTGACACGCATAATAATCCGTCCGGTTATTCTTCCTATTCTTGTGAACGCAGTTGGTTATCTTGTAATCTTGTAATCTTGTAATCTTCTATCTTATACTATTCCTCCTTTTATTCAATTTTCTTTGATTCTCCTTGTTCAATTCCTTCCCCAATTTATTTACAATCAGATTTTGAATATTCTTCAATCCAATTCGTTGATTAATCTTCAAATGGCACCTCTTCCTTGATTCTCTTTGTTCAGACTTCCAATTTATTTACAATCAAAAGCAATTGGAATCCATCCCCTCATTTGTTGATTGGTTTTCGGTGTTTCTGTTAGATTTCATTTTAACTCTTTCCTTACATCTATAACTATCAGGTTTTGAATATTCTTCGATCCAATTCGTTGGTTGATCTTCAAATGGCACCTCTCCACTCTGCTCATGCATGCCAACAACCAATTGATCCCGATGAATTGACCGATGAAGAGATGAGCCGATACTCTCAAGCCATACTCCACTCGGATGTATTGTTTCCATTCTCATTCCTATTTTCCCTTCACTTTTATTCCCATTTCAATGAATTTTAATATTATATTTTGTACACAGGGTTTTGATGTACCCAGTTTTAGGGACAACTCTGAATTTGGTCTCATCCAACCTATATGTGAGGAATATCTATCTGGACCACATCTTCGAGATTGTGGGGGAAAGCTATAAATGAGTACAACATGAAAAATGTAGGTAAACTTCACCTTCTCTTCTCTGTCTATATTTCCTTTTATCAATACATTTTATCAATAACCTTTCTAACCCCTCAAACCTTCTTATTTTTAGGGTACAAACTTTGGTGAAAGTCATGAAAGCTAACCATCAAGCTTCCATGGGTATCTTGTATTATATCACTTTTGATGTCAAACACATTCGAACAGAGTTTCCAACAACTTTTGAAGCCAAAGTGTTACATACTATTGATGATAGTAAAGAGGTACATTTATGTAGACCGCGCTCTAGTTGAGTATCTTTTTATCTTTTTACTACCTACTATATCATGTTTTTTTTTCTAATAAGAATAAATGTAATAAATACCGCCGGAAATCCCGGGGATTCTGGGAGGCAAATATTTCCTTATAAAAAACGTTTCCAATTTCCTTGGAACTGTTTTCCTTATAAAAAACGTTTCCAATTTCCTTGGAACTGTCTTGGCGCACAACTCTTTCAAGAATCAATCATTTTGTAAGAGGGGATGTTGGTAGGCATATATTACCTTATAGGAAATTGGTAGTGCGGTGAGAATTGTATGGAGAAGGACTAAGAACAACCGAGTTGTTATTGGGGAGGCTGGTGTTGGAAAAACTGCAGTGATTGAAGGATTGGCACAAAGAATTGTAAGAGGGGATGTTCCAAGTAATCTTATTGATGTGATGAGGCTCATAGCTTTGGATATGGGTGCTTTAGTTGCGGGTGCTAAGTACAGGGGAGAGTTTGAAGAGAGATCGAAGGCTGTAGTGAAGGAAGTTGAAGATGTAGAGGGGGGGAACGTCATATTGTTTATCGATGAGATTCATCTTGTTCTTGGTGCTGGAAGAACAGAGGAGTCAATGGATGTCGCTAACCTTTTCAAGCCTATGCTGGCTAGAGGGCAGCTACGCTGTATTGAGTATTGGGGCAACTCGAAGAAATTTTACAACATAACTTAGTGTCTACCCTTCTATTTTCGAGTTTTTTTATATTTTTTTTAATAATTATCTTAAAAATAAAAAGTATTTATCCCTAATACATTATATTAATAACTAAAATCTTGAACTTTCGGAAACATAAATTGCCATACATCACTAATTGTTGGTTACAAAAGTATTCTTAATTTTCATAATAATCTTAAAATTAAAGTTGGGTTGTAACCCTACTTTCAAATTGGTCGAAGTTAATTCGAGGAAAAAACAATCAACCTATGAATTGACTCAAATTCTAAATTTTCTAAAAAATTTAGAAAATTTAACAGATTTAGAAAATTCTAAATTTTCCATGTAAATGTAATAATCCTAAATAAATATCTTACTTCTATGTAATTATAATTTAAGTTCAATTCTACTCCATTAAATCTTTAAATAAAATATAATAGATTATTAATTAATTTAGATAGGCCTAAAATTATATGTAATTTAAGTTGAATTATAACTCTATAAATTTTATACTACGGAACTTTCTAAATAATTATAATTATTTGACTGATTTCACTCTTTTGCAACTATTAATGCCCTCTTTAATAGAATTATACCTAAAAGGATATTTTATTATTTATATAAATGTTGAGAGATTGATTTTTTAATTTATAATTTTTATTTATTCTTTATTATATTATATATAATAAATTAAGGGGTGGTTTCAAACGGTATGATATTTGATTTTCTTGTCTATTAATAAATAAAAAACTAAAATCCTAAAATGGGATTAACATGTTAATATTTGTTCTTAATTATCAACTAAAATCTAATTTACTCTTAATTTATAAATATTTGTAATTAATTTTGTTTTAAATTGGTAAAACTAATATTTAAATATTGTATTTAGAAAAATTATCACTGCTTCAAACCAAAACACTGAACAACCCATTTTCTTCGCTTAAAAAATGACCCATTTGGGAGTTTTTTTTTTTTTTAACCTCTTCTATTATGAAATAAAAGATCATGGTACGGGCACTTACAAAATAATTATCAAATCCATTGAAAAATACCAAAGATTTCAAGGAAATAAATGAGGAAAATGAAAATGAAATAAAAAAAAAAAAAATATTAGTTTCACTTTGTTTGATCAACTTGTTGTCTTTAACGATGGAGAGGACCTCTGTATACTTTTACTTGTATGTAAAGGTAACTTTTCTTGTTCGGATCACGTTGGAGTTACTCATGTCTAAGACCACCAACATCATCTCTAAGGTCTTTCTTAAGATCACAACTATAACAATCCTAAATTTTCTGCTTAACCTAAAGTCGTACATATATTATGAACATTTAATGCGAATTAACTCTATTTATTCTTTATAATAACATCAATCTTAAACTTGAATACTTTATTTTATGTTTTTGAATAAAACTAATAGAAAGGAATATGATTAAAAACAATACAAAATGACATGTCCTATTATTAATCTATAGGCTACTAAAATTAAATGTGAATCTATCCTAAGCATCTGTCACAGTCTCAGGAATTGCCATGTCACCGTCAGCCTTAAAGGGGCGCCTTGCCTTTACCTAAAAAAGATAATAGCACGTGACTTGAGTATTTTAAAAATATTTAGTAAGGGACCCCTGTCAAGGTTATAATGCAAGGACATGAAAATGCATGCATGAGACCTATCATAACAGTCTGTCCTTGTCTTTTCCGGAAAAATATAATAGCACGTGGCTTGAGTATTTTAAAAATACTTAGTAAGGGACCCCTATCGAGGTCATAATGCAAGGACATGACAATGCATGCATGAGACCTATCATAATAGTCTGTTTTACTACAATGGCTATCCTAATGGGCAACTTGGATGTGTAATTAATTTCCTACACACGGCCCATACGTGCGAGTATGAACCCACCAATTGGTTTGCACACTTCTTGAGCCCCTTTCTGGTCGGGCGAGCATACTCTGGGAGTTGTTGATGTCGGACACCCGTTAGGAGTAGCGACCGCCACGACAACACTATGTCAAACATAATGATCATTCCCCTGCCTAGTAGTTAGTGTATGCGTCTGTACAATCGTGAATAAATATGGGTGTATCACTGTAACGACCCTAAATTTTACCTATTTAATCTAAGGTCATTACTATACTTTTGGCTTAAATGACTCTTATCATAAATAAGACATAAATTTGCCTTTTATTACCTTATGAATAACAAATATAAGGGAAAGAAAAGAAAAAGAACAATGCTGAAAGGGGATTACAGTTCAACTTATACTAACCTATACTAATAATGGTGTAACAATCTAGGAAAGAAAAAGAAAAAAAAAAAAACTCGGTCACCGGAAAACTCGCGAGTTTTTCGGCGCCCGTCGAGTTTCGCAGATCCCACGCGAAACGACGGCCACACCACGCTCAGCCTTCAGCCCACGACTCCCAGCCCCTACTAGAATACCTGCAAAAGGAGAAAAGAAAGAAAATACGAGAGAGACTCCACCTCGCAACAAATTACCTAATCAAATAAGCTAGGATTCAACAGGGTCTCATATTCAATATTCAAGTCTTTCAAACCACTGCTTAGAGCCTTACTATTTGGGAGACTCCACCTCCAAAGATCCCCATCCTCCATGTATTCATAAAGCCTCCTCATGCGCTCAAATCCATTCAGCCCTCTGTGATGGAAAGAACCAATGTCAAAGTTCCCACAAACATCTTGCATTGGCAAATGCTTGAAATAGTCAAAAGCTATTGTAGCTCCACTTCTCTGAATATCTATAACTTCAGTCGCATTTTGACCAAATGACCACTCATCGCTGAACTGATAGAGATCATTCTAAGTAATCATAATATCATCAAGAAAGAGAACCCTCCATGGAACTGGCACAGACACAATTTGTTCCATAGATATCCATACACGTGAAAGTTCAGAACACTCGCAATTACAGCTATCGACAAAAATATCACATTTGCATCAGCTCCTTCCCTCCAAATGGCAAAATTAACCACGTTGGATAGTCTATCGGTAAAAGCTCTTTAACATAGGAATAACATTATACGTAAAACAACAACCATAAAGAATGGGGCACAGACGATCAAAAGCACCTGTTAGCTGTCGAATATAGGTCCTGAACAAATCCACAAGGAGCCACAAAGTCCAAAAGGTAAACGCCGGCGGTATGATGCAGGGGAAGCTGCTCCTGAGGAGAAACGTTTCAATACTGAAATTTAGTGCACAGTTTAAGCAAGGAGGTTGAAGGGATAATGCAGGGAGAAGGTGATCTGAGAGGAATAATGCAGGAGAGAAGTGTTGTGCCTCGAAAGCGGAACAAATGAACGAAATTACACAAACAGATACCAAGATCTTTACATGGTTCGGAGAGAAGAAGTTCCCCTGCATACACGGGTAGCAACCAATCACTAATAAACCCAAGTGTTACAAGTGAATACCTAGCTATCACACTACAAAAACTCTCACCAATATGTCACTCAACAAATACGATGTGACACCCAAAACTCTCCCAAATCTCGATATCACTTGTTAGGAATGGATATCCGGAGGGAGAACTCTCTCATTATATAGCATTACATAATCAAGTCTTCGATATGATATGACTGAGACTAAATCTAATTCAAATAACCAAATCAAATCTAATCCAAATAATCCAATCAAATCTAATCCAAATAACCTAACCAAATCAAATCGTATGATAATTTACAACAATCTCCACCTTCTCATAATCTCCAAATCAAATCAAAACTTATGACAATTTACAACAATCTCCACCTTGTCATAAGATCTCCAAGTTGATAACTGAGTTGGTTGCCACCTCAAGCCTAAATACGTATGTTGGGAACTCCATTGATCATAGAGAAAGCATATGCTATCGTATCATCAAACCTTACAGGTTTTCGAATTACCCTTCGTGGTCTATTATTGGTGATAGATTCAGGTTCCTCCGCTCTTTCATTTACAAAGCTTTTCTCCTCAAGGCTTTGTTCCTCCTGTTCTAAGACATCAGAGTTATTATCTACCTAATCAATAGGTTCTTCAGTAGGAGCAACTATATCAGGAGAGAACACCACCTTCTCCACCTGTTTCAATGCCTCGTCCTTATTTTTGTTGGGTTTTATGTCCTAAAACTCATAGTTTGTAAACAAAAATATATTCTATTTTCAATAAAGTTATTATCGTTATTTATTCAATAAAGATTGTTATTGAATAAAATGAACTTTACGATCATTAACCTAAATCCAATAAACTAAGAACACTCTGGCTATAGTATGATTACTTGAACTATATGTAGAGACATAAGAGTGGATCAAGTTCAAGTATATAGTCAAAATGATCTATAGTATAAGGATAAGGCTGAGTACCTTATTCTGGGGACACTATGGATGCGGCCCACTTTTGTAATATGATATAAACAATGTGATCACTAAATTGTACATGTGAAGACATGTGAGTGGGGGCGTTTGTACATGTGGAGACATGTGAGTGGGGGTGTCCTATGCAATGAGTATTGCATAAGATCGGACCATGAAGAAAACCACTCTCACTTTATAATGTCGTTTACTGTTGAGACTGATTTTCTTTTCATTCGATGACCTAGGTAACTCGATTTTAATCCTGAGCTAACCATGAACTCCTGTTTATTCGGAATTATCCTTAGATTTGCATGAGTGAGAGTGGCTCAAGTTCGCCGACTCAATAGGCCTCCCATTTCAGGGGTAAGACTGTGTGAATGGCTGGGGATGTGGGGTGCAAGATGGAATTCACTCCTACCCACTTTTAGGGATAGAAGAGAGGTAGTTCCCTTAAGCACTGACTCGAGGTCTTGAACAAGGGGCCCCACCCTCTCATTGGCCTGAGAGGGATTCGGTTTACTGGTTGGACCACAAACCAATTGTTCATTAGAGGATCAGTGAGACATAAGGAACAAGAAATAACTTCAGGGGTAAAACGGTAAATTGACCCAGCTCTAGTTACGAACAACCTGTGAAGGATCGACTTACTAATCATGGTTATATC